TCTCTCTCTCTCTCCCTCCCACCTCCTTCTCTCTCTCTCCCTCCCACCTCCCTCTCTCTCCTGAAGGCTTTTACCACAACCTGATCATGTTAATTGGTTTTCCTTTCTTTCATCCATCTCACTTTCCATTTACTATTTAAGCATACCTATATGATGCCGTTTTTTTCTCACTACTGGTTTTGAAAGAAATCGTTTCACGGAGATAAGTTTGTCTTTATACACCATTAATTAAGGATGTGGCCATATTCTACACAAAGTCTTCAAGGTAGTCTAATACAAGTCAATGAGGCTTTATAAATACCCACAAGTAGAAAAAATCACGAGAGGGGAGGGGCTGGCCAGAGGCAGAGGGGTCCTGGAGCAAGGTCCAGCACCTCCAAGGGCAAGGAAGGACAAGCACCGGGGCAGAGGGGTAAGGATGTGGGCCCCGCATTCCATCGACCTTCTGAGTCTCCTTGAATGTCTCATTCCCATGCCCTGAAGGGCGGGAGAATCTATTTCAATGTCTAGGTATAGCAACACTTGCCCAATCCCACGGACACTCAAGTAATTATTTCTTTCCTTTAAGTTAGGAATCTACCATTAGGTTCTTCTCCTAACAGCTTGGAGCTAATGATTAATAACAGGAATAAAAGAAATGATTAAAGAGAAGACTTTGCTAATATAATCAACAAAATACAAAGTCCTGACATCTAATCTTTTTCCAATTACTAAAGTCTAAGTAAAATAAGTACAGAATAATTGGGCGACAGTCGCAGCAATAACTTGCATTTTACAGCAATCTCAGAAAATATCAAATCTTCCCCAGTACCCTAAGGATATTATGAAAAGCAGGAACCTCATATCTGAATGCCAATAATGTAATGTTTACCAACCATGTTCCCAGTGCCTCTCCCTCAGCATAACTCTGGTTCTCTGATTACGGTTTACGAGGAAAAGCTGAGAGGAAACTTATTTGTTAACGTGCTCTGAACCTCTCTCCTCACTGGAAGAAATTCACAAAAATTCAAAAATCCTGAATCTACATAATGAGACAAGGCTGTAACTCTGCTCAAGCTTTGGTGTTAAAAGAGAGCTTTCACACGTCTTATCTCATTTGATCCTCAAAACAAGCTTGTGTTACTTAGGGCTGTGATCACTATTGTATACGAAAGAAGTAGTCTCAGAGAGGTTAAGTGACTTGACCAAGGTCACACAGGAGCTAAGCAACCTTCAATACCAGGGTCTTTCCACTACGTCCCTTCCATTCTTAGAAAGACTTTTGTAGCACAGACAAAATCTCACTTCTGAATACAGACAAAAAGATCCAAAGTAAAACCTTAGGAGATCAAAGCACAGCAGCAGGATAGTCAAAGAATAATACACGTAAAGAATGAAGGAGGGACGGATCAACGTCGGGAAATCTTGTAGCTTTACCGACATGCTGAATGGGGTTGACAGGGAAGCCACATGACCATCCTCAGAGGTGTTTGGTGCATCTTTCTAGCAGAAATCCAGCTTTGCCAAGTATTCACACCTCCCTGCCCTGTGGGTGGGGACTCAGCCCAGAGGCAGCTGAACCCACAGGTGGGCCTGGCTGGAGCCCTGCAGAGCTAGGCCACACCTCACCAATGGCTGAGTCAGCAAAGGGCCTAGACCCCTACTTAAGCCACTGAGCACAGACAGCTGAGGGCTTCTGAGAACACTCCGCCGGGTTCTTGGGAAGTTCCCGGAGGCAACCCACTCCTCTTCCACTGAAAGCTACCAGGGTCAGATGTGGGGGTCGGAACTGCTGCAACCATCTGCACCCAACCAGCCTGAGGAATGATGCCAACAGAGACAGACGCAGAACCGAGAGAATGGCAGGAAACAGAGCTCTGAGATAAGCAAGATGGCCAAATACAGGAACATTCAAAAATCAATAGCCCTCCTCTGACAACAAAAAGAAAATAACATGGCATAAACTTAACAAGAACTGTACAAGACCTCACGAAGAAAACAACAAGTCTTCACTTGAACACTTACATAAATAGGAGGAAACACCACGCTCACTGACACCAACCTGCATTTACGAAGCTCTTCCTCTGGGCCAGGGGGAGGAGGGGAATTACAAATGTGAGCAACACCAAACACAGTTCCCGTGCCTACACAGACCCCTGTGCTGGACAGCCTGCCTGGGCTGAGAGAGTCCCCTGGGCTTCCAGATCCACCCTGTGCTTAAGAGAGTGCACCTGTGCTTACAGAGCGCACCTGTGCTTACAGAGCTTAACTGTGCCTAGAGAGTTCACCTGTGCTTACAGAGTTCACCTCCCATTCCAAGGAAGAGCAAAGTAAACTTACAGCTACCCTGAGTGCTCAGATGAAGAGGCAAAGGGTGCCCTGAAACCGTAAATGGGGAATTGTACCTTGTTAGGAAGGTCAGGGAGGTTTCCTTGAGGAAATGACAATGGGGATAAGATCTAAGAATGAGGGGAAATGAACTGAGTGAAGAGGGAGGCCAGCAGGGGAGTAGTCAAAGCCCAGGGAACAGCTAATGCAAAGCCTGGATTATCCTGGAGAAGAGACTGGGGGGCCAAGAGTGGTCATAAGGAGACCACTCAATGGACTACTTCACAAGCCCAGTGTAGGGGTGATGATGGCAGTGAAAGTAAAGCAATGACCAAGGAGATATTTGGGAGCTGAAAGCAAGAAGACTCAAACAACAGACTAAAT